AAGAGACGATCTCCTGCCCCTGTAAGCAAGCTGCAAGAAAACGAGATGAGCCTGTTGACTGACAGATCGCCTGGAACAGGCTACTGTGACAATGACCCCAAAACACGGGGTCACAATGTAATCATGTAATGCATATGACACCATAAGAAACTGCCAATTGGGTTGTAACTTCTATTCCTAAGCACGTGTGATCAGATGGGTTAGGTGCTGAATTTACTTGTGAGGATAACGACACTTCCAATACCACATTACAAGAACATGTTTAATTGTATTTGATTGATGTAATCTAAAACCTTAAATAATTTGACAAGCAGATACAACTGATATAACAGTAATAGTGCTCTAGATAACAAGATGTTGTTATTTAGTGTTACAAGCATCCATCCATTTTCTAACCCAGCAAGCAACAGGCGCAAGGCAGGATGCACCCTTGACAGGACACCTGTGCATGGTGTGGCAGAGACACACACATGCACACACTCACTCACAACCGGACCAATACTCCCAGACGCCAATTAACCTACCAGTATGTCTCTCAACCATGGAAGGAAACCAGAGCACCTGGAGGAAAGCCATGTGAACATGGGGATAACATACAAACTCCATGCCGATAGCCCCCAGGGTCTGGAATTGAACCCAGGGCCACAGCAGCAATGCCAATCATTGTGCCACTGTAGTACCCTTTAATGTTACATATTGTTCAGAAAAAGATCCCTTGTACTATCCCACCTTCCAAGACAACACATTCCACTGTGATCATGCCTTGGAGCGAATCTACCTGTGGAACTCAATGAGGCAACAATGAGGATGACATGAAGCCTTTTCCCCCTCTCTGTACACAGCTCTTACTCCTCTGACTGTCGAGCTTGTTCCTCCTCGGGGGGGTGTGGTCGGGAGCCTCCTCCAGGGTCAGAGAGCGAATCACCGTCTCGCACACGAACTGCGTCCCACTGATGTCCTCTTCCCCCTCCTCCTGGGCCGGCCCGCTCCCCGCCTGTGGCTGCTCCCCCAGGGGCACTCCTGCAATCACAGGGCACCCAGCACAGTCAGGCACATGAGGTGAGGGCAAAGCTCGCGACACACTGAAAGACTCATTTATAGCACCTTTATTTTTTTTACAAAACATGCCCAAGATCTACAGAAATAAGGAGATTCCAAAATTCCAAAAGGCAACAGAGGCACTGCCTCAGTGGACCTGAGCAGATCAGCCTTCTTTTAGGCTAAACAGATTTTTTGTCTCATGTGGGATGTATACTTTATATAACAGAATGTCAAAACATCCATCCACATCAAAATTCTTATTTTATTTTTTTCCTGAGTGCGAACATCTATGTATCTGAACCACAATGTCCCAGTCCTGGAACTAGAGCCTGTTTTCTCAGTTAAAACTGAGGTCTTAACAGTATTATCTCTGTCTTCCTTATAAAGTACAATGGAGAAGGTCCATTAAACCATGAAGCAATATTAGTGAACAATATTAGTGAATCTTGTGGGAGAAACACCAAGTTCAGTTTCATGGCTTCACAATAAGGGAACAGGCGAGATGAGTACAGCACACAAAACTAACCCACAACAAAAGAGAGGTTATAGGTTAGACAAGCTCCTATAGCCCATCCAGCTTGCTCAGTGGCAGCTGAGTGATCCGAAGATCTCATCCAGACATCTCTGGAGAGAAGCCTGGGCAGCTTTCAGACAGGAACAACCCACTGTGGGGAAAAATGTGTTTCCTGGCCTTGGTTCTAATCACACTTTCCTTCCCCTCTGGCCCTCTAGTTCGGGTTTCAGTGCTGGCTTTGGAGAAGTCCATTGAGTTGACTTCATCAAGTTCAATTCAATGCCTTTAGCAGAACAAGAACAAGTCAGAACAAGACATACCGTGGTGCCCAAATCAGGGATGTCTCTGGCTGGGTCTAAGCTGGGACTGTTTTGCAATACGGTGATATCTTACTAGAGTGTTGCATAATTTACATAACAATTAGATTCACCAGGTATTCTTCCTATAGAAAGTTTTGCTTTTTACAAGATTACAAGATTCTTACAAGATTCTGGATTTCCTATTTCATATCAATTTTACATTCATGTTTTTGATACATGCAGTCATCTACAATTGTTTACTTTAAATGTTACTTGCCAGGTGCTTGCCCAGTCTTCAATTATGTATAACTCTTTTTGGAGTTTTTTTTTTAACATCTTGTACAGTTTTGGTTAATTCTGTAACAAACCCAGGACTATTACATGTTTTTGCTCTTTTCCTTAGTGCTGCTTTTCTGAACAGCTTCTCTGTCTCACCGGTCATATCACAGTAGCTGCCAGCTAAAACCAGTTTAAGATTGAGGTTTTGCACTATAATCAGGAACTGAGATGAGAAGAGAAACGCGTATGCAGCTGTGATGAAGCCTGTTGGCTCCACTTTCACACCTGCAAACAGCAATCAAACACATCAAGACACAGTCTCTCCACTGTGACATTAACCAACCCCATCATGGAGTAGGTATGGGGCCTAATTGATATTAATTTTCAAAGCAACAAATACCTCAAATAGATGAAACAAGCCAAAAAGTGGGCATGAAGAAATAAGTTATGTTGCTGACATCACCTTAATTTATTCTCTATTCCAATTGCTCTGCGCCACATGAGAGTGGACGTTTTACAGTCAGAGACAGACAGAGCATGCAGCGAAACCCTGCATGAGAAAAAGAAGTGAAGCAAAGACTTGATTTCCACTTGTAATGCGAACAAAGGGCCCGCACACCAGCCTGGTGCTTCAGTCCCCCTATGGGTGCTCTTTCGGCGAAGGGTGGGAAAGGGCCAGGCAGGGCCCCGCGGCGGAGGAGACCCCGTGGTGCAGCAGACAGGCTTACCAAGCAGCGGCTTCAGCGCGGAGCCCTCCGCCTCCTCCTCGATGAGGCCCAGGCCTGGCTTCTCCAGCAGGGGCCCGTCGCAGGGCAGGGGGGACATGCAGGGAGTCATGTCTGCGGCAGACACACACAATCTCACGACTCGCCAGCGGCTACGCACAACGCCTTCCAGCCGGGGGAAGGAAGCACACAACCGAATAAGACTCCGATGCCTTTCACTGACTTTCCCTCATCTCGTTGGATGAACTTCCACAAAGCACTGCTCTCTGAATGGCAACTCGGCACTGGCAGTGAATATTTCACTGGCCATCCCCTGCATGGATCTTCCCATAAAACTGGATGTGTGAAGACCAAAGAATACCTCATTATACTGAATTAACATTGAAAATAGCATATTAGTTATTCTGCTCGGTAAACACGTTTACTGTAGATGATACTGTGCTTCCAGAAATGTCCGCAGCTCAGCTGCACTCAGATTCTCTCACTGCCGTAGCCGAGACAATGTGATGTTTTGTGTTCCTTGTATGTTTTTTCCTCGTTTTTCCTTTCTCTTTGGTTTTTTGTGCATGTTCTGTTTTGTTCTGTAACGGCTTTGTCTTTATCTCCCCCATGAGGTTGGGGTACAACCAGAATTAAAAAAATCGTCATTTTGTACAACTGTGCCTTTTTATCACAGCTGACAGATTTCTTATCCTTCATTATGACTTGCGTTTATGCAGGCTGCACTCTGTAATATTGGCCATACTGCACTGATCACACACAGGAAGTGTTTACCAGAGGAAAGGCTCTCTTTAATGCTGTGGATTTGGTGGCATATTTAATGTCAGGGCGTAAAAAGGCGCAGAACCATTTCAATGTATGTAACACTATTCTTACTTCAGGATGCCTTATTGTCTCTTTATTTAGGATTAGAGATACTTATATTCAATACAAGACCAAAAGATCTACTGCATGAAATCCAGAGGACAGTGTGGTAATGGCGATTTAATTCGAGCTCTTCAGCAGTCTTACCAACTGGTGTGTTGTGAGGCACTCTCTCCAGCTCCTGGACAATGTTAATATCCAGAAGTTCAAAGGATAGCAGGTCCTAAGAAACAGAATGTATCACACAAACTTTTGTTGGGCAATTCTCTTCAGTGTTCATGATTACCCATTAAAAAACATTTCAGTTTAATTGCTACTATTGCTAACACCATCAGATTTCTATTCAAATATACAGTATATGCAGCACT